CTGCTGCTGTCCCCCTCTATGGATTTGAGGATCTTTGAAGACCCCTTCTAAGACCTCACAAGCCCTAGCAAACCTAGCACGGAGGGCAGATTCCATTTCAGAAGGTCCTTGAAACTCTTGCACCTTTCATCGAGAACCGTTCTGTTGTGTTATAACTTAAAGTGAATGTATGTGTCCACTAGATCAAGCCAAAATGTGATCCTTGGCAAAAGAAGCTTTTGATTAAACTAAAAGAACGGAAAAGAATAGATGCATTAATGCAACTCCAAGCCAAGTTTTTGAAGGTAAGAAAATAACTGTGTCTCCTTGTAGATAAGATTCTTGTTAAAATCATTTTCCAAAAAGTGGAATTTTCTTTCCCTTTTTAAAAATGTTGGGCTGGATCCACTAGGAAGGCTGTATTTGGAACTTTCTAATCTAATTGCCAAACTTTAAACATCCTGTTAGCTTCAGCAGAAAATAAGAAATTGTCAGAAAGAACTGGATTTTAGTCAGGCTTTCACATCAACTCTCTGTATGAAATCGTTCCAGCCGTGTAACCTACTAAAGTCTTATTTTCCTCATCTGTGAAACAACAATGTTGGACTAAGTGATCTTTTAAAAAATTTTAATGATACATATTTATGGGAGATAGAGTGATATTTTCATATATATAATGTGTAATGATCAAATCAAGGTAATCAGCACATCCACCATCTCAAACATTGATTTTTTTTTTTTTTTTTTTTGAGACAGAGCCTCAATCTGCGGCCCTGGGTAGAGTGCTGTGGCATCGCAGCTCACAGCAATCTCCAACTCCTAGGCTTAAGTGATTCTCTTGCCTCAGCCTCCCAGGTAGCTGGGACTACAGGTGACTACTACAATGCCTGGCTATTTTTGGTTGTAGTTGTCATTGTTTGGCAGGCCTGGGCTGGATTTGAACCTGCCAGCTCTGGTGTATGTGGCTGGTGCCTTAGCTGCTTGAGCTATAGGCGCCGAGCCAAACATTGATCATTTTTTATGCTAAGAACATTCAAAAGTCCTTTTTTCTAGCTATGTGTAAATATGCAATGAATTGTTATTAACTATAGTCACTGTGCAGCGCTATAGAACACTAGAACTCCTCTCTAGCTAGCTATAGTTTTTAATCCTTTAACCAATCTCCCCTGCTTCCCTTCCTAGCCTTAAAATTCATGATTAAACCCTCCACTTCTATGAAGTCTACTTTTTTTAGCTTCTGTGTATAAGTAAGAACATGTGGTATTTATCTTCCTGTGCCTGGCGTATTTCACTTAACCTAACACCCCCCAGGCTCCTCAGTATTGCCACAAGTGACGGAATCTCGTTCTTTTCTATTGCTGAATAGTATTCCATGATGTGCGTATACCACATTTCCTTTATCCATTCATCTGTTGATCGATACCTAGGTTGAATCCATACAGATATCTTGGCTATTGTGAGTAGAGGGCAGGAATAAACATGGGTGTACAGCTATCTCTCCAATATACTGATGATTGCCTTTCCTCTGGATCTGTACCCAGCAGCAGGATTGCTGAATCATACGGTAGTTCTATTTTGCAATTTTTGAGCACTTTCCATGCTGTTTTCCATAATGGCTATGCTAATTTACATTCCGGCAGTGCATAGGAGTGCTTGTTTCTCTGCATCCTTGCCAGCATTTGTTGTTTTTCCTCTTTTTAATTGCCATCCTGGGGTGAGATGGTATCTCATGGTGGTTTTGATTTGCACTCCCCTGGTGATTAATAACGCTGAGGATTTTTTTCACATCCTTGTTGGCCATTGTGTGTCTTCTTTTGAGAAGTGTCTATTCACACACCCTCTGCCTATTTGAATGGCAGATTCTTTGTATTTCTTGCTGTTGAGTTGAGATTCTTGTATATTCTAGATATTAATCTCTTGTGAGATGAATAATTCACAGATATTTTCTCCCATTCTGCAGTTTGTCTCTTCACTGCTTCTTGTGTCCTTGCTATGCAAAATCTTTTTAGTTTGATATAATGCCATTTGGCTAGTTTTGCTTTTGTTGCCTGCGATTTTGAAGTTGTATCCATCAAATCTTTTCTATGACCAACATCCTGAAGTGTTTCCTGTAGGTTTTCTTCTAGTAGTTTTATAGGTTAGGGTCTTAGATTTAAGTCCTGAATTCATTTTGAGTTAATTTTTTGTGTATGGTGAGAGATGGGGGTCTAGCTTCATTCTCTTGCGTGTGGATATCCAGTCTGCTCAGCACTACTCATTGTCCTTTCTCTAATACATGTTCTTGGTGCCTTTCTCAAAAATCAGTTGGTTGTAAATAGGTGGATTTAGTTATGGGTTCTATATTCTGTTCCTTTGGTCTGTATGCCTGTTTAATGCTAATATTATGCTGTTTTAGTTATTATAGCTTTGCGAGAGGTTCTGGCATAGAACCGGGGCAACGGACCACAATAAAGGAGAGGAGGCCAGTCCAGGGACAAGGGAAGACTTTAATCAAGGGGAAAAGGAGAATGGAGACTGACCAGGAGTCAGCTCAGCGCCCACACTATTGTAAAAGGCTTTTTTTAGCCCCATCAGGAGAGCTGAGATGGTGAGCCCAGGAGCTCAGCTCAGTTCTCTAGTTCAGGTCAGGATATGGGCATGGATTATGGCCCAGAATATAGATAGGCTGTTTCCAGGAACTCTGGCTTTGACGCACTCCAGGATTCCGGGGAGGGAACTGCAGGTTTCTGACCTGATTTTCTAAAATGGCTGCACTCCAGTCAGGGTTATGTGAATTCCTTTCCCACACCTTGTAGTATAAAGCCATCGGCTTTGTTCTTGTTACTGAGGATTGCTTTGTCTGTTTAGAGTCTTTTGAGGTTCCATAAGAATTTTAGGGATGTTTTCCTATTTCTGTGAAGAATGTGAGCCATCTTTTGGGAGGGATTGCGTTAAATCTATAGATCACTTTGTGTAGTATGGTCATGTCCACAGCATTAGTTCTTTCAGTCTACGAGCCTTAGAGGTCTTTCCTTCTTTTGATTTTCATTTTAATTTTTTTACTTCCTCTGCAATTTTTTTCATCAGTGTTTTACAGTTTTCATTGTGAAAATCTTTCTCCTCCTTGGTTAAATTTATTTCTATTAATGGGTTACCACATCCTCACCAACACTTGCTGCTTTTTTTTTTTTTAATGGTCACAATCCTAATGGGGAGAGGTGACATCTCAGTGTGTTTTGGTTTTGCATTTCTCTGGTGGTCAGTGACATTGAACATCTCTCATATGCTGATGGCCATTTGTATATTATCATTAGAGAAATATCTATTTAAGTCCTTTGCCTGTTTATTTATTTATTGTTATAGACTCTGCCCATTTTCTGGTTAGTTTTGTTGGTAGTGTGTTGTAGAAGTTCTTTATATATTCTGGCTATTAACCACTTATTAAAAAAATGTGGCTTACAAATATTTCCTCCCATTTTGTAAGACTCTTTATTTCTACTGGCTCTTTGTTTCTATTGACTAAAATTGTATCCACTGATGCACAAAAGTTTTTAAGTTTGATGTTAGTACTATTTGTCTGTTTTTGCTTTTGTTGCATGAGCTTTGAGTGTCACATTCAAGAAATCATCATTAAATCCAATATCATTAATTGTTTCCCCTGTTTTCTTCTAAGAGGTTTATTATAGTTTTAGATCTTACATTTAGACCTTTAATCCATTTTGAGGGTTTTTTTTGTATATGGTATAATATGAGGATAAAACTTTATTATTTTGCATGTGGATATTCAGTTTTATAAATAGATACATTGTCCTTGCTCCCCTGAGTGGTCTTGGTACTCTTGATTGTGTATACGTAAGGGTTTATTTCTGGGCTCTCTATTCTATTCCATTGGTCTAGATGTCTATCTTTATGCTAGTACCACACTGTTTTGATTACTGTATCTTTATAATATCTTTTGATTAAGGAAGTTTAAGTCTTCCAACTTTGTTGCTCTTTTTCAAAATGGTTCTGACTATTTGAGGTCCCTTAATGTATTCTATGAATTTTAGGATGATTTGTTTCTATATCTGCAAAAAATGTCCTCAGGATTTTGGTAAGGTCTAGAATGAATGATCTTTGGAGCTCTTTGTGATATTAAAGTGATATAGTAATACATGTATCTCTAAAGTAGGAGTTCAATTTGGGGGTTGTTATTCAATTATTTACCTCCATTAGAGAAGAAAGGACATTCATTCTGCTCCTACGTGCCAGAATTATCACAGCAATCTGGGGAAAGACATCATTAGTATTTTTGTGAGGTTGACTTGCCCTGCTGTGCATGGAAAAGCCAGTCAGGGATAAAGCCAGGTCTGGGTCTTTGTGAAGCTTATGCTCTCCCTATACTGCCCTGCTTTCTCCCCCTCCATCTCCTGGCACCCCCCTAACAGATGCCAGAGTTTGCACCAAAAGCTGATGGATGTTTATCTTTTCAATAATGCCACTGCACCTGTGGGGGTGCCATCTGCCATTGTCTTTAGGGAGTTGTCACAGAATTTTAAATGAGCTGCCATATATATTTGAATACTTATAATGTTAAATGGACAAACATATTTGGGGAATCAGGATGCTGGACTTTAATTTTATTTATGTATTTATTTATTTAAGACAGAGTCTCAAGCTGTTGCCCTGGGTAGAGTGCTGTGGCATCACAGTTCACAGCAACCTCAACTTCTTAGGCTTAAGTGATTCTCTTGCCTCAGCCTCCCAAGTAGCTGGGACTTACAGGTGCCCACCACAACGCCTGGCTATCTTTTGGTTGCAGTTGTTTAGCTGGCCCAGCCCGGGCTCGAACTCGCCAGCCTGGGTGCATGTCGCTGGCTCCATAACCACTGTGCTACCAGCACGGAGCCTTTAATTTTATTTTTTAATTGAATAAAATCCCACCAAGCTTTCCTCCTTGTTCATGTGTAGGTCACTAAATCCTTGCTGAGAAGATGGGAATATTCTTCTAACCGTTCCTTCTCCCCTCTGTTCTACCTGAGATTTCTGACCCCCAGCGAGTAATGCAGGTGCTCCAAGACCATGCTGCAAAGATAGTTGCGCTGGCTCCACATCAGCCATCTTCTGTGGCTTCCCGGGGTTTGCAGCAGCACAGCTATGACCAGATCTGGGAGAAGATTTATAGCAACATCAACCTCTATCAGGTAAAACAGGAAGAAATAATCAATATGCCTTTCTGTTCAACTCGCCGCCTGTATGCAGGCCTTAGACATTTACTTAGGTAGTTCTTCTGAGAATCTTCCCACCAAAGCTCTATTTATTACCTAGCCAGGTTTATTTTCATTGTAAGAAAGTCTAAGTGCTAATTAAAAAGTGGGATATTAAAAGGCGTATTATAAGATCTTCCAGGACAGATACTTAAACCAATAAATACCAGGGCAAGGCTGCATGCCCTAGTGCTCAGCACCCAGTGACTTGGACGATTATGAAATATTGTTTAGGAAGAAGGTGATCCCTGAAGTGTTGGTTCTGTGGAGGGAGCCCTCTTGAAGGACAGGGGATTGAGCTGGGTTTGAAGGAAGCACTGGGCTTAAGGACATGGTGGAGGGAAAACTAGGGAGGGCATTCTGGTGGATGCAGCATGAGCAGGGCACAGAGGAGACACTGTGTGTTGGGTTCAAGGCCAGTTTGGTTCAATGGAAGATTTGTGGGGAAATATAGTGAAGTGAAGGGGTTGTTTTTGTTGATGTTTTGTTAGGGGTAGGATGAGAATGCCCGTAAAGTTCCAGACAAAAAAAAAATGTTTGCTTTATCCTGTAAAGAAAATGATACTTATAAAGGTGTATTTATAGGAAGATCATTGTGGCAATGGAGTGCTAGTTGGATTGAAGGAGGAAGGGACTGGGTCGAGGAAGCCAGTTAGGTCGCTTGTACATAGGACATTTGGAAGGGAAAGAAGTTTGTAGACAAAGCTAGTGGGTATTTGTCTTTACAATGGTACCGTATTATTTTTGAAGCTTTAATTGGCTATAATTTGTCGCTCTAAGGGTTTTGTTTCATTTTCTTAATTAAGATGGGAAGACTGAATCTGTTTATAGCCTTAGAGGAAGGAAGAGTAGAGAAAAAGAGATGGAAGATGTGAAAGGAGAAATGTGAGAACCAGGTGGCCCTGGGGGAGACGAGAGGAGAGGGTGTAGGAACCAGGTGGAGGAGTAATTTTGAGAAAGGAATATTAAGATCACTTCCCTTGAGGTGAAGGAGACACAAAGAACTTTCAGGTATGAAAAGGTAAGATGTGGGTGCCGTTGACTGTCCCTGGCTGTCTCAGAAAGAGAGAGAGGAGGTGGACATTGTCTGCATGACCAAGGTGAAAAGTGAGCGTGGCATGTGGGGAGCATGAAGTACAGGACCATGGGTGAGGGATGGCTATGACAATGACTGTACAGCCAAGAGGCCCTAGTGAAGGCAAGTTGCAGGAATTTGGAGTGAACTCATTTTGCATAAATTCTTCTACTTTCCCCCTCAAAGATAACTGTAGAGCAACTAAAATTTGTATGAAATCGAAAGTGGGGGGAAGGTGAATAGAATGCTGGAGAGAGAAGCAGTGCTGTGGTCCATCATCCCACGCTGTGTACGGGGAAGAGGGAGACCCGAAGGGGCCCGGTGAGTTGCTGACTGGTTGTAAGCACACACACACACACACACACGCATGCACACACACATGCATGTGCACTCACACACATGTATCCACATACCTGCGTACACACATGCACGCACACTCACACACACATACATGCATGCACACACGCACACATGCATGCACATGCACACACATGCACACACACATATACACACACCTTGCATGCACACATGCATGTGCACTCACACACATGTATCCACATACCTGCGTACACATATGCACGCACACTCACGCACATGCACACACATACATGCATGCACACGCACACACATGCACACACCTTGCATGCACACATGCACACACACATATACACACCTTCTATAACTTTTCAATCTGTTTGGACAAGGATCTAGAGATGCTAATGAAAATGAGCTGGCCACACAGAAGTACATGCCACATGTCACAGCAGGGACCTCACTGGGCCCAGAACTTCCTGACAGGGTATGCAACCACCAGTGACACTAGCATCCTGCCAGAGTTGAGGAAATAGCCCTATCTTTCCTATTCCATTGCCATTTCACACTGATGTATATGTCATTGTTCAGGAAGACATTGTAACTAATAAGGGAACATTTGAAAACATCTGACTCTCCTATTTCTTGATCCCAACTTAGCAGGTAGAAGGTGGAAGAGGAGGAAGTGGGGAGAAGGTAGAGTCAGCCTCAGCTATCTCTGAACAAGGTCTCTGCTTCTGGGCTGCTGGACAGTTTACCCCTTAGTGCTGGTGGAATGGTCATCCCGTACCTGGGAAGCCCTGCTGTTAACATCTGAGGGCCAGCAGCACTCGTCTGTTCCCCTCCCAGAGTGGGAGAATACGGGGAGTTCCATGCCGGTGTCAGAGGAATAAATAAGAGCGAAGGTGTGGCTCAGCACCTGTGGCTCAAGTGGCTAAAGCGCCAGCCACATACACCAAAGGTGGCGGGTTCAAATCCAGCCCAGGCCCGCCAAACAACAATGACGGCTGCAACCAAAAAAATAGCGGGGTGTTGTGGCGGGCACCTGTGGTCCCAGCTACTTGGGAGGCTGAGGCAGGAGACTCGTTTGAGCCCAGGAATTGGAGGTTGCTGTGAGC